CATTTGTGTGGTTACTGAGAAATTAAAGAAAGGAACAATCTTGAATATTTTTAGTTTGAAGGTGATTGATTAATTGATCTTGTCATCAAACTTGTATTTGGTTACTACCAAAGAGGCCCGATCTGGCTTTGTGGTCAAAGTCTAGGTGCTGTTGTTTGAGGCCTTTCGTTGAGCAGTTGGTGGGCAAAGATGTGGGTGGCTGGAAATCACACTACACACACAAAAATCCAATCCACAAAAAAAAAAAAAAAAAATTTCCAAAACAGTCACCAAATTCACCAAACTACAATCTCCAAGCAAACCCATATTCAAAACACAACTCCAAACAAACTTAACTTCAATTGGTGAGCAGGAAGGCATCTATCAGTGGAAGTGTTAAGGTGTAGGGGAGGGCTGAGGGCAGCCGTTAAAGGTAGAAGATGGTGAAGCTAGCAAATGGTGGCGACAACTAGTGTGAAAGAGCATCTTGACCGCCGGGTGCAACTCACAATCGCACGATGGTATCACGCACGGCCCCTATCCCTGCCTAGCTTGAGAGTGTAGAAATCTGATAACATGGGGTATCTTCGTCTTCACAATGAATGTCATTGTATTTCACGGAAATTATTAACGTAATATAACTTTTGGGTAATAAAATTATATTTTAAATCTTTTTGGGTGAGAAAGTGTCATTCGTCCAAACTTTGGGTGGGAAAAAGTGTCTACTCTTTTGTAGGCTATATTTCTAGCAAACAAAAAGCTATAGATAAGCCATAACCTTGTAAAATTAAATTGGGTTATTACTATAGACATTTATATTAAAAAAAAAAAAAAAAAAAAAAAAACTCAACAATAAAGGACAACTTTTTTTCTAACAATGAGAGGACTATTAATGACCTAAAAATTAACTTGGTGAGGAGAAGATACTTAGATATCCTTTTAGGTTCTTAACAGTTTCAGAAAAGATGGTAATATCCTCTTACAAATAGGATGTACCATATTTATCCTTTGACTTTAAAATTTTATAATAGAGGCTAAAAATTTTTTAAAATTAAAAGATACGTATTCTGGAAATTAAAAAAATAATCTAAAAAAATAATCTAAAACATAAAAAGAAAATCTGATTTATAAAAGTTAAAAAAATGAAGATCTGAAATATTGAAAAAATTTTAAAAAAACAAATTAAAAATTAAAAAAGAAGCTAAAAATATGGAAACAAAAAAGCAAATCCGAAACACTAAAAAGAATATCCCAATATTTTATTAAAAAAATCTGAAATATTGAAAAAATCAATAACTTAAAAAATAAACTAATTATAAGAAAATTATAAAATTAAGGCCAGTAGTTATATTTTAAAAAAAATCTAAAAATTCATATCTGGCACCCATATTCGCCGACAATCTGACCTAGATTACACCCAGGGCATGGCAGCGATGCTCGATCTACAACAGATCCCTGCCGAAAATGCTTGTGGCAAACTGGCTAAAGTAGAGATGGCAATGGGCCTGGTATTTTCGGTTCCCCAACCCGGCCCGTCCCAAAAAGGCCAGGCTTTACCCGGTGTTAACGGCCTTGGGCTTGGGCCTATGACTGATTTTAAGGCCTGCCCTTGGTTATGGGCCGAGCATAGGTATGTCTTCCATCCCGGCTCGACCCAACAATTTTACTATTAATTTTACTAAATTACCTTCATACTATATATCTAATTACAGAATTATCCTACGTATATATAAAAAAAAATTGAAATTTATTAATATTTGGTGAGTATTCAAAAATAAATTAATATTTAAAATTTGTTTCTAGAATTAAAAATATAAAAAAAAAATTGAAATCTATTAATATTTAAAAATTCACATTATAAAAATGGGCAGGCTTGGGCCGAGACTGAGATTATAAAAGGACCATCGGGCCGAGCTTGGGCTTTACCCGTCATCCTCGTGACGGGGCCAGGCCGAGACTGTTGGGATTCATGCATTTTGGACATGGAAATGGTGTAACATGGATGAACAAGATGATGGATGTAAGGTAGAACACAAACATAACACATAAGCTTAAAAAATTTCAAGGTAAGGATGGAATATTACCTACTCCTTTGCTATTCAACACTTGAATCTTTTTTTTTTTGAATCTTAATTCTTCAAGTGAACTTGAAAGAACCTCAAAATGTGATCCACACAAGTCAAGGAAGAGAGAGCCGAGAGAGTGAGAGAGAAAATGAGAGAGTGATTTTGCTTTAATTGATTCAATTCAATTAAAATGGTATAAAACTTAATTTATATACAATTGGCACAAAGTGTAATTTTAAATTGTTTTGGGAAGGCNTTTTTTTTTTTTTTTTTTAAGTAACGGGGGTGTCTAGGCTAACTTGTCTGCACCACAACTAATCTCCGGAGTCCTTTGAATACCCTGTAAGTCCAAATGATCGAGTAAGTCTCACATTCCGGGGTTCTTTGAACACCTTATAAGTTCAAAGGACCATATAAGTCACAATGTAAGAAAATTATAATGTGGTAAGTGGTCTCAAGATTCAAACCTAAGAAGTCAAAGAAGGGAGTAAACCTTCTTGACCGTTAAATCAACGCCTTGGATTGCCACTGTTAATTTATTATACAAAGCATGCTTTACAATTGGCTGAATGACATTTTCACCCACTATCACGAAGTTGTCTCATTCAACCCTTTACAATTTGTATATGTTACTGCTTGATTCATAAAATTACAATAATCCGAAAGCATAGCTAGAGATTGAAGCTCTGGATTGAAACACTGTTGGGAATTCCTTTACCAGTAAGGCCACCTTCACTAGTAGGATGGAGCAAAGTATACGGCATTTTGATAGGGCCAACGCGGTTCTTGAGAGTTTGGTCATGGTTTCTTGCTATAATTTATAACTACCCTAAATTACCATCATCCAATGAGTACGCACAGAATGATGTGGAAAGCAGAAACAAGTAGAATCAGAATGCAATTAAAGGCATCTTCTTAAAAAGTATTATGTTAAAAAAGAAAAAAAAATTAAGCTGGAAGGAGTATTTGCTCTTTGACTTTGAACACAGCCATCTATATAAACAAATTAACAATGTCGAGGAATTAGGCTAAAAATATTATATTAATGGAAAGATAAATAGATTATTTTGAAGATTACTGAAAATGTTTAAGAAAATGTATTTAGTTAAATTGAAATATATTGGTGGATATGTTATATTCATATATTTGGTTGGGAAGATATATGTGTAGGTATGTTATAATGATTATTAAATTGCCTTTGTTTTTAAATATTGACAAAATATTATTTTTATTATTATTTTTTGAATAATTTATAGGACGGATGCAAGAAGGGACGGCTCATATTAAGAGGAAGTGTGATGAGTGTGAAGAGGAAAATTAGTAATAAGAGAAGAGCAAGAATTAATGACAGGATAAATAGAAATGGGTACTGAAGAATATTTTCGGCTTGAGGTTTCTTTAATAGAAAAAAGATAAAAATATCTAGTAGCGGTAAAGGAAGAAACCTTAAATCAATGGAGTATTGCATGCTTTCTATTGCTGATGATGTTTGGATGGAGATGATGAAGAAATCAAGGATGGAGCTAATCTTGGACCTTTTTGGTTTGAAGAATTGAATGCTTTTGTTTGGGTTTGAGGCTTTTATGAAATTGATTCAATGAGTGGGAATTGAGACTAAGTGGGCCCTAATGAAGTCACCTGCACATCCAAACTTGTCAACAATCTTGTCAGTTTGTGTTGTGTGCAGGTGACACAACACAAACTGAGACTAAGTGACACAACACAAACTGAGACTAAGTGGGCTCTAATGAAGTCACCTGCACACAACACAGCACACAAGTTTGTGTTGTGTGCGTGACTTCATTAGGGCCCACTTAGTCTCAATTCACACTATAAATTCCCCTCCACTCATTGAATCAACTTCATAAAAGCCTCTTCAAACCAAAATGGTCCAATATCAGCTCCATACTTGATTTCTTTCTTATCTCATCCAAACATCATCAACAATAAAAAGCATGCAATTTTCCATTGATCTGAGGTTTCTTCCCTTACCGCTACTAAATATTTTCATATTCTTTTTATTAAGGAAACCCCAAGTCGAAAACATTCTTCAATATCTATTTCTATTTATCCTGTCACTAATTCTTGCTTTTCTCTTATTACTAGTTTTTCTTTTCACACCTATCACACTTCCTCTTAGTATGAGTCATCCCATCTTCTTGCGTCCTGAAAAATTTTCTCTTCTTCTAGCTCTGTCAACCCTTATGTCAGTCATCCTACCACCCTCTTATTTCTTAGTAGTCTATTTGTTTCTCATTATTATATCTCCATGTTATGCATTACTATGGAGTCTGATTAAACTTTTCTTCAACTACCTTCTTCATACTCTACGATCACTTCCTACCATCTTCATCAATTGGGTCGATCAAAACCAAGAAAACCCAGAACTAGCTCTTGCTCCAATTGAAGAGATTGAAAGATTTGGAGTAGAAGGTAACCTAATGGAATATGACCTTGAGCAAATTGAGATTATAGATAGTTAGTGTTTCTGTAGAGACAAGGGTGATAGTGATTACATTGTCATGCTGCTATATTGAAAATCTAATTGTAGACTTTTCAATTATTATACTTGTGGTACAAAGGTTGAAACTACCAGTTCTTTTGAATTGCTTCTGTTGTAATAATTAGTCAATTATGACAATTAGTTATTTGTTAATTAGTTTGGTCACACATTACTTGTATTTTATGTTTCTTTTACTATAATAAAGGAATTGTTTTTATCGATTGGATCAAATTTACGGTTACTGAAAGTTATGTTTGCCGTTGGATTTTGATATATTAGATCTTGGTGTAAAAAAAAAAATTATATTCACCGTTGGATTGATCATATTCAAATTAAAAGAAAATCTAGAAAAAATAATAATAATAAAAATGTACTATTTTAATAATTAAGAAAAAAATATAAATAAAATATATTTTTTCGTGAAGTCGAAAGGCGCACAGTTCACTGCTCTCTTTCCCTATCCCAAACCAGAAAGCAAGTAAAACTTGGTAAAAAGCAAATACCCACAATCTGTTTCAGCTTGCTCTCTCTCTCTCTCTGATGGTGATACCCGTTTACTCTTTCTGGTTTTATTTTAGTGGTGGTGTTGTTTCCTTTTCGATCTGGCTGCTCTGACTGGTTTCATTTGGCCGCGATTCCAAACTTGGAGTGTTAGTTCTCTTTTCTCCCTTTTTCTTCTACGTAGTTTTTTTTTTTTTGTTCAAGATTTGGGTCATCGTAGTTGCGGAAATCGTGAATTAAATTGAAAAGATGCCTGGCAAAAACAACCCTTGTTTGTTTTATAAAATATTCTCAAGGAGGGATGAATTTTCACTGTGCTTTGTGAGGGGAGAGTTTATGGACGATTCAAATTCTCCCTCTTAAGCTTTCCTCTCTAGTTACTCTCTTCTCTATTTAGGCTTTCTTACTGTAATTATCTCTTTGATCTATATTTGAGGGATTATGTTAGTTTGATTCAAGTTTTGAGACTAAAATATAGGTTTGTGGTATTGATTTGAAGCTCTTAATTTAGGTTCTCGTTCGTTATTTATATTTTGGGAAATTGGAAGATAAAGAAGCTAAAAGTGTACTAAACTATTTACAAACCATTAATCTCCGAGCTTTACTCGAGTCATAATTTTTGAAGCTTGTTTATTCAATAATTCGTTTTGGGGCTTGATTATTGCATTTTTAATATGCTTTTTTGCGCTAAATAATCTGTGATTTTACCTTATAATTTGTTTTTACGAAATCAGAAATGATAAAACAAAAGGCTTTTGTTTTGCCACCAAAACTCGGAAATTCAACATCAAATTTCTCTAGAAGTTCTCCGAGGATCAATATGCATGGTAATATACAATTCCAGTTGGGCATATATGTTTATTCACCAGTTCCTGACTTTGTATTGGTCTTTGTGGATTAGCAGAATTTATTTTGCTGGCCTCAATGTTATTCTATCATGGACCAAGGAAGAGTCACAACACCTAGTATATTGGGATTCTCGGTGTATTTAAAATTCAAATCAAGGTTAACTGAAGAAGGCTTATAAAGGAACTGCTATAATGAGTCATCCAAGTCCAACAAATGTAAAGATCCTGATTTTTGTTGAATATTATGCTATAGGCTATGCGTCACTTATTCTATCACGTAAAAGCTTCTGGATTTGGTAGTATGTTGTGTGTATTAATGCATTGTTTTTGATGTATAAATCACTACAGTCACCTACTCTGAATGCTTAAACTAGTTGATGTTGAGCAGTCCAGAGTGCCGATATGGCACCGTGTTTCAATTATCCTCCAAGGTAACTGTTAATGTTAATATGCAGTTTAGTTTTATTTTTATTTTTACTACTGTTTAGTCAAGTTAATTGTTTAGTTAGTTTTATTACTTGAGTTAAACATGTGATATGGGAGAAACCACTTGTTGGCTTAGCTTTGGGCCTTAGAAAAATATATAAGGCTATGTGTTTTACTTTGTTAGTAGACTAAAAAAAAGAACAAGAACAAAGGGCTGTAAGAAAAAGTGCAGAAACGGAAAATCAAAAGACCAGCAAATAAAGCTAGAAGTCTAGAACTTCTCCACAAATCTTCTTCTTTTAATTTCTCAAATTGTTCCTCTGTGTTCGGTTTTTAGAGAACTTTTCAGATTGTTTTCTTCAGGTCTTGAGCTCCACTGCACTCTCTTTTCCTGGAAATTGTTTGTGTATTTGTGTTGTGAAGTTGATGAACAAATCAGCCAATAGTAACTCTGCACTTGGTTCTACAGCCCTAATTAATCTTTGTGAAGATATTAAATTCTGGTGTGAATGAGTGGATGGAATTTTCAGTATATACATATGATTGTTTACTTTATGCTTAAAGTTCTGTTTTGTTCATTGTGGGCGCAGGTTGTATTTGCATCTGTATGGGCAATATTATAGATAATATAATTTTCTTTTGATGGTATATCAATTTCCTTGAACCAAGTCATTTCATCTTCATTTCAAGTTGCAGCTACTTGAATTATTTATATTGATGGCAATTTTCTGGATGTAATGCAAACCCTTCTGTTTTGGTTACTCTGTAATAACCTTGCTGTAGGTTAGACAAATAATAATAACCTTTGATTGATAATCAATGGACTATATAAATCTTGGGATTGGGATTCATGTGAGCCTTTGTTTATATTATGATGTGCTATGGAATGGAATTATAATGATATGGTCATGCATTTGATATAATATGAAGATCCTTTTGGCTGTATAATATGGTTATTAATGGTAAATCAATAATTCACAATGCAAAATTGTTGTAGACTGCAGACATATATTGTTATTAAAGTTGTATCGTTTGGATGCATGACATAAGCGTTGTGTCTAAATCTGAAAGAAATTCTACCCTGGACTATAATGTGGAAGCACAGTTCGGTTTTAAGCTTTAAAAGAGATTTTGCGTTTGACTGTAATGCCAAAAACGAGGATCCCATCTTACCATTATATTGCATGCAGTTATTTAATACAAAATATTCATGTTGTGTCGTCTATCACAACTTGTTCCAGGCTGCGCTCGTTGTGGTAGAGGTTAATTTGAGGTGGTTTTGAGTCTTGTAGGTTTTGGTTGATGATGGAGATCAAAATTGTGGTAGGAGAAGTAGTAATAGCAGAACGGAAAGGATAAAAAAGTATGGCATCTTTAAAATTGGAATAGAAGAAGCTGCATAGAACCATCCCGAGACTTTTCACATTGGATTTGGATAACAGCAGAAAGAAGATGATAGAATTTAGCAGGGGTAGGAAAAGAATCCTCAAATCAATGGAGAAGATGATAGAACCTGTATGGATTGAATCTGTGCCATTTATAATTTGATAATATTTTTAATTAAATATTCCTAACATTGCGTGGTAGTTGTACCTGTATGGATTGAAGTAAGTGACAACGAAATTTCTTTTATATGTATCAAAATCTATACTGACCGTTGGATTTTCTTTTAATTGGATAGCTGCAATCCAGATTAAATCTGAACATGATTAATAAAGATATTGGCAAAGTTGAATCAGTTGATCCTTCTCCTTTCTGTTTATCTTTTGTTCTTTTATTTTCTTCCCCTCGTTTCTGTCTCTCTTTTCTTATTAACTGAAGTTTTACTAAAAAGAAAGACACAGCCCGCTTTTATGATATTCATTTACAGAAGGACAGGGAGAAAATGCAAGTCCTTGTCATATTTTAAAAATGTTCTTAAAAATAAGAGACAAAAAGGAAGAATGACAATGACTTTCTTTTTGTCGCGAAGAATCTTCCTTTTTTTCTCTTCTTCGCCACATTTTAAAAAAATGACAATGACTTGCAATCTCATTTCAAGAGCACATATCCGCCATTTATGACTTTCTTATCCATGCACTTCCGTCATATTTGCATAAGAACCATCAACTCTGTTTTCATAATTCCCAAGTTTCAAATATTACTTTTCCCCCCAAGGTTTATATTCCGTTAGTATGCAAATTGCACTTCACTTTCACAGTTGGCATTTGACGAGTTAGTAAGAGCTATGGTAAAAAGATTTTTGTAAAGTGGAGGCTAGTGGATCGAATGGTGGTGATCGATTGAATAATAACCGTCAGAATCAACCAAAAATCAATTTAAAACAGGAAACTCTAGCTTTGCGATAGATAGCAATTGGAGAGAAATCAGATACTAAATTGAGAAATATTCTACAAAAAGGAGATCGAATATTCAAATGGTAGTGACAAAGAGAATTCAATTACTATTTTTATTTTTATTCGGAGATATGCCTTAACGTATGCTTTTAAATTAGGATCTCTTTTTATCTGAGAGCCACTAATCATCTTCTCAATTGTCATATCACCGCATAATACTATCGAAATGAATGATGCATTATCTGACACAATTAATTTGAAAGACAAATTTTGTGAATGCAATTGTATACAAATTTATAATATTTAGCTTCTTTCAAAGAATGTTCATGAAAATTTAAGTTTCAAAGACAAATTTGGTGAATATAATTTTTTTTTTAAGAATGCATGGATCGAGTTTATGGTTATCAGAAGCTTTCTTTGCCATTGGATTTTGATAAGTGGAACCCAACGATGCAATCCAACGGTGAATATAGGTTTATTCAAAAAGATGGCACCGTTGGATTTTATTTTAATTTGGATACTTGCGGTCCAGCGGTGAAGATAGATTTTTTTTTTTTTTTTTTTTTTTACCAAGATTAAAATATCAAGATTCATATTTACCGTTGGATTTTATTTTAAAAGCAATGGCTTGACGAGTTGTATCTGTCGTTGACTAAATGGCAAATACTCGGACAATCCATTGAAAAATCGTCATTTAAAAACACCGTCATCTTCTTCAAAATCAGATTCATTTGACTTCTCTTAAGGTGTTGAACAATCAGCAAAGGCTTCATCCATGTTGTCCTCGCAGTTGCAGACCCTTCAATTAAAATTCAAAACAAAACCAATTGAGGATATTAAATTACAATTTGAAGAGTGGGGAAAAAATAAAAAATAAAAAGTTTATACTAATTTTTTTTTTTTCTTGCATGTTAATATCATTGATATAAAGATAACTATAATATAATAAATTTTAGTTTCAAAACTGAAAACGTAAATCAGTATAAGACTTTATCTTAATTAAGATGAAAAAGGAGTCAAGCTTTTGATTAAATATTTAACTTACCACCAATCACTTTAATTGGGTTTTATCAAACTTGTTGATTTCAAATTAATGAATTTTTTTTCTTGATTTTTTTAATTAGTCTTTTTTTAGCTTAGACAAAGTTTTAAAGGCAACATAAAAAATAGAACATTGAAAACTTTTTAAATGCCCATAAAATCCTTATAACATTTAACAATATAATTTAATCACTTTACGAAATAAATTTAATGATAAAAATCATAAATACTATGATTTTCAATTTTTTTACATTTTAAGATATTTTTATTTTTATTTTTTTAATTTTCAAAGTTTTTAGATAAATTGTTTTGGTTTATTTTATAATTTTGTTTGCAAGCTTATCTAGTGAAACTGATTTTTATTTTAATGATATTTGTCATTAATATTTTAGTTGATAAGTCATAATTTCCGGATTTTCACTATTTGAAAACACTGTTTTTTTTTTTTTTCAAAATTTTTGGAGATAAAATGTTTTTGATTTATTTTATAATTATCTTTGCAAGTTTATCAAGTGAAACTCGTTTTTTAACAGAAATGGAATGGTCCTATCAACTGTCCCACTTGAAAGGAACGCCTATTCAGGTACTGTCCCACTTGAAATGAACCCCGATTCAGGTATGTGAATCGGGGTTCATTTCAAGTGGGACAGTTGATAGGACCATTCCATTTCTGGCAACGCCAATTTGAACTGTCCTCTACTATCACATCTGTCTTTTGTTTTAATGTACAAGATAAAAATATATAATGACATACATAATAAAAACTCACAGTAAAGATGATGAGTTTTGTTGATACAGATTTTAACATCAACTATTATTAAATATAAAATGTTAAGTTGTTTTTAAAAATTATACGTGAATGATTCATGAAAAGTATTTATAATATAGAGATTATATATGTTTGTAGAAGCATATAGATAATAAATTAACAAAATTTTTTTTTATAATAATTCAGATGCTTAAAATAAATCTTACATCTACTGTTATTTTATTATTCTCTGGTTATTTTTCTGATATTGTTTGTAAGACATACAAATTAGAAAAATGTTTTGTTTATAAAGAGATAATAATAAAACTCAAATATTTGTCTAACTCTCATATGTCTAGCCAGTCTATTTTTCATGAAGAGAACCTTTATACCTTTGAGATCAATGTTATGAGTGTTTTTATAAGTTGTCTTGACATGTGAAGACCACATTAATTAATATAATAAAGGAAATTAGTATAAATGTGGTACAAAGTTTGAAACTGCAACTTATTTTAAGTTTTCATTATTTGTCCATTAGTTTATTTACTACTTGTATTTTCTCCGTCTTTTACTACATTAATTAATATAATAAAGGAGTTGTTTTTATATGTTTATCATCCAACACGATTTGATCATAAAACTATCAAAATTTTATTATAGGGGTGTTTGATAAATAAATAAATATAGAAGATATTTTTATTAATTTCTAAATCTTACATCGTAATAACTACTCAATTTAACTTTTTTTTTAAATATTATTTTAAAAAGTATCAGAATAATAAACTAAATACACCATAATTTTTTTTTTTTGTTTTTTAACGGGGCGTTCAAGCAGTTTGCATATACTTCAATTAATCTTCAGGTTCCTTTGAACACTCAAGACATCCTAGTCTAACCATTGTTAATTTGTTTTTGGTTTTTTTTTTTTTTTTTTTTTAGTAACGGGGGTGTCCAGGCTAACTTGTCCGCACCTCAACTAATCTTCGGGGTCCCTTGAATACCCTATAAGTCCAAATGATCGAGTAAGTCTCACATTCCGGATCCCTTGAACACCTTATAAGTTCAAAGGATCATATAAGTCACAATGTGAGAAACTTATAATGTGGTAAGTGGTCTCAAGATTCAAACCTAAGAAGTCAAAGAAGGGAGCAAACCTTCTTGATCGTTAGATCAACGCCTTGGGTTGCCATTGTTAATTTATTATACAAACCATGCTTTACAATTGGCTGAATGACATTTTCACCCATTATCACGAAGTTGTCTCATTCAACCCTTTACAATTTGCATATGTTACTGCTTGATTCATAAAATTACAATAATCCGAATGCATAGCTAGAGATTGAAGCTTTGGATTGAAACACTTTTGGGAATTCCTTTACCAGTAAGGCCACCTTCATTAGTAGGATGGAGCAAAGTATAGGGCATTTTGACAAGGCCAACGCGGTTCTTGAGATTTTGGTCATGGTTTCTTGCTATAATTTATAACTACCCTAATTACCATCATCCAATGAGTACGCACAGAATGATGTGGAAAGCAGAAACAAGTAGAATCAGAATGCAATTAAAGGTGTCTTCTTAAAAAGTATACTTTTTACTGTTCTACTTAAAAATAAAAGTATAAAACTATTAGTCTATTACCGCATGTCCGCATTGACTTTACTGTTTCATTTAAAAATAAAAATTTACTACTTTCAATATTATTGACTGATGTCAATTAATAATATTTATTTATTAACAAAATAAATATACGTTTTTTAAAATTAAAATCCTGGTTATTGTTCTTAATAATATAAAATAGAATTTGAGAATATTACTCAAGGGTCCTGAGTAAGAATCCCTACGACTACTAATAAAGGATAATCACTAAAGATTTATCTAACCGTTAACTTCATGGTCTCGTAAAATTTATTGAGATACATGTAAACTAGTTTTGACTCTAAACTAGTTTATGCGTATCTCAACGAATTTTAGTTTTGTTATGACTTATGTGTTTGGTTTGACAGTACAGTTGAATTTTGACTAAATATTGTGTTTGAGTCTGGAGACTATAATTTGAATATCGGTTATATATTGAGTATTTGTGTTATTGGTTAATTGAATACTTTGCATTTGAAATGCTATATTGATTTTAACCAGGTAGTCCATAAAAGTGTTAAAACTAATATTGATATTACCGTATTTTTTAAAACATATTATTGATAATGCACCGTATTAAACTCGTATATATTCCTACCATATTTTTTTCGTATTCGAATTTTATGATCGAATTTTTATAAACATATTTTTTACCATTTATCGTATTATACCCATAAAATTTCGGTACCTTTTTTTCATCGTTTCGTATTTACTAAGTAAGGCAATAAGGTGTTCCCAGTAATGGAATGGTCCTATCAACTTCCCCCCTTGAAAGGAACATAAAATAAGAAGTCTGAATCGGGGTTCGGGGGAATGATTAGTTTGTTTTTTTCTTCACCGGGGCGCACTTACTCTCAATGCTCAATATCAAGCCCCCCGCTCAATGAAATTATATAAAACCCCCTTCGCTCAATGAAACAATTTCATAAAAAGCCTTAATCCCAAACAAAAGCATTCAAGTCTTCAAATCAAAAACGTCTAAGATCAGCTCCATACTTTTATTTCTTCCTCATCTCTATTCAAATATCATCAGCAATGGGAAGCATGCAATCCTTCATTGATTTGAGGTTTCTTCCCTTACCAATACTAAATATTTTCATCTTCTTTCTATTCACGGAACCAGAAGTCGAGAACATTCTTCAATACCCATTTTTATTTATCTTATCATTGATTCTTGCTCTTCTATTATTACTAGTTTTCCTCTTCACACCCATCATACTTCCTCTTAGTATGAGCCGTCCCATCTTCTTGCGCCCTGAAAAATTTTCTCTTCTTCTAGCTCTATCAACCTTAGCATCATTCATTTTACCACCGTCTCATTTCTTAATAGTCTATTTGTTTCTCATTATCATATCTCCATGTTACGCATTTCTATGGAGTTTGACTAAACTTTTCTTCAACTGCCTTCTTCACGCTTTACGATCACTTCCTACTATCTTTATCAATTGGGTCAACCAAAACCAAGAAAACTCAGAACCAGTTCTTGCTCCAATTGAAGACATTGAAGGACTTGAAGTAAGAGATAACCTAATGGAGCCTGATCTGGAGCAAATTGTGATTATAGATAGTTAGTGTCTCTGTAGAGGCAAGTAATAGTGGTTACTTTGTCATGATGCTATATTGAAAATCTAATTCTAGACTTGAAAATTGGTATACGTGTAGTACAAAGGTTGAAACTACCGGTTTTTTTGAGCTGCTGTTGTTGTTGTAATAATTAGTAAAACTACCGGTTCTTTTGAGCTGCTGTTGTTGTTGTAATAATTAGTAAATTATAACAATTAGTTATCTGTTAATTAGTTTGGTTTTACTGTATTAATATATATAATAAAGGAATTGTTTTTACCGATTGGATCAAATTTACTGTTACTGGAAGCTATGTTCGCCGTTGGATTTTGATATATTAGATCTTGGTTAAAAACAAAAAAAATTATATTCACCGTTGGAGTGCTCGTATTCAAATTAAAAGAAAATCTAAAAAAAATATAATATAATAAGGGAAAAAGTATAAATAAAATATACTTTTTACTGAAGTCAAAGGTCGCACAGGTCCCTACTCTCTTTGCCCATCCCAAACCAGAACGCAAGTAAAACTTGGTAAAAGAGCAAATACCCACAATCTGTTTCAGCTTGCTCTCTCTTTGTGATGATGATACCCGCTTACTCTTTCTGGTTTTATTTTAGTGGTAGTGTTGTTGCCTTTTCGATCTGGCTGCTCTGACTGGTTTCATTTGGCCGCGATTCCAAACTTGGAGTGTTACTTCTCTTTTCTCCCTTTTTCTTCTACAGTATTTTTTTTGGGGTTCAAGATTTGGGTCATCGTAGTTGTGGAAATTGTGAATTAAATTGAAAAGATGCCTGGGAAAAACAACCCTTGTTTGTTTTATAAAATATTCTCAAAGAGGGATGGATTTTCATTTTGTTTTGTGAGAGGATAGTTTATGGACGATTCAAATTCTCCCTCCTAAGCTTTCCTCTCTAATTACTCTCTTCTCTATTTATAGGCTTTCTAACTGTAAGTATCTCTTTGATATATATTTGAGGGATTATGTTAATTTGATTCGAGTTTTGAGACTAAAATATAAGTTTTGAGACTAAAATATAGGTTTTTGTATTGATTTGAAGCTCTTAATTTAGGTTCTTGTTCGTTATTTGTATTTTGGGAAATTGGAAGACAAAGAAGCTAAAAGTGTACCAAACTGTTTACAAACCGTTAATCTTCGAGCTTTACTCTAGTCATTAATTTTTGAAACATGTTTATTCAATAATTCTTTTTGGGGCTTGATTATTGCAGTTTTAATATGCTCTTTTGCGCTAAATAATCTGGGATTTTACCTTGTAACTTGTTTATATGAAATCAGAAATGATAAAACAAAAGGCTTCTGTTTTGCCACCAAAACTCGGAAATTCAACATCAAATTTCTCTAGAAGTTCTCCGAGGATCAATATGCATGGTAATATACAATTCCACTTGGGCATATGTGTTTATTCACCAGTTCCTGATTTTGTATTGATCTCTGTGGATTAGTGGAATTTATTTTGCTGGCCTCAATGTTATTCTATCATGGACCAAGGAAGAGTCACAACACCGAGTAGTGTGGGATTCTTGGTGACTTGAAATTCAAATCAAGATGAACTGAATAATGCTTACAGAGGAACTAATATAATCGGTCATCCAACAAATGTGAAGATCCTGATAAGAAAGGTTCTGGCAGTCGTATCATTTTGTTGAATATTATGCTATAGGCTATGCGTCACTTATTCTATCTGTAAAAACTTCTGGATTTCGTAGTATCATGGTGTTTCAGTTATGCCATGTTTTGGGATGAAGATATGCTGTTGAGTTTGTTTTTTCATTTCCAGAAAGCTCTGAGATTGAACTTCGAATGCTTAAACACTTGACTTTAAATGCACCTAATTAATCAGGTTTCCATTGTGCTATAGTTTTGAATGGCTATGTTTTCTCATGATGGTTGGATCTTAATTTTTAGAATGCTTGAGATTGATCATTTTGTTAATACCAAAGGTCAGATTCATAAATCATATTCTTTCCATCCTAAAAAATTTTATCTGCTCTTTTTCCAGGATATATTTTTCTAGAATTTAAGAACTTTTTTTGTTTCTACAATATTATGCCCATATAGAATTCTCATCTTGGTGTATAATAACATTGTCAGATTCCATAGAAAATGCTCAGGTCGATCTAACAATTTTGGTAATTCTTTTGTGTTAAATGTCAATCCTTAATACAAAATACTTGGTCAAGCATTGGCAAAAATTCAGTTCACACCCTTTTCTATGTCCAATTTAAATGTGATCAGTGCTGCATTGTCAACTGGAAATGAATGGATATTTAAGCACTCTGGTGAGTGGTTTCAGGTTTGAATGTTCTCTCCATCAATAGGGGGATTCAAGTAATCAACTTGTGGATGTTGTTCAACATACAGAGCTTTTTACTGACTTCTACTCTCAGTGCCTAGCAGATAGACAGAGAAGAGAATATCTGCAACAAGCACTCTCGTATCTTCCTGGATCTTATACCCTTCTCCTGAATGTTGACTTGAAAATTTTGTTTCACAAAAAGGTCATTTTACTGAGAATGTTTTTTTCAATAAATAATTTGTTTGGTGAGCGAAACTTATTGTGCATATCAAATTATAATATGTGGGTGGGCGTAGACATGGGATGAATGTCTATGCTGAATCTTGCATTGCTCCTCTATAACTCTTATTAGGTTTCTTTTTTTTTATTTTTAATTTTTTTAATTATGAATCAGTTCTAGGAATAGACTCATACTTATGTGGTTCTTAGCGGTTATTAATTTATGATTAATGTGGTGAGTTGCATGTAGAAAAAGAAAGGAAGAGCTAGGATCTTTCCTAATTCTTTTAAAATGTTCACTCATTGTATATACAACCAAAAATAAAAATCTCAATGCTGTATGGTAAAACTCAATAACAATGTCTTTCAATTTTAGTTTTGTTTGTATGAATTTCTAATTGAGTTTACTTGTTGTTTTATGCAGGACCCATTGGATCTCAGTCCTGAAAAAGAAGCAACACTACTGGCTGAGAAACATGCATTGTAATACGAAGTCATTCCCCTCCAACCCAATGCCATGTCTTCCCCTAAAAACAATCTGCTTCTCACCCCAATCAAGGTGATTGTCCATCCCCCAGGTACGTTAATGTTATGTGCAGTTTAGTTTTTACTGCAGTTTAGTCAAGTTAATTGTTTAGTTAGTTTGATTGACTTGATTAAACATGTGATGTGGGAAACCACTTTTTGGCTTAGCTTTGGGCCTTAAGAAAATATATAAGGCTGTTTTTTTTCCTTTTTAAGTAGACGAAAGAAAAGAAAAAGAAAAAAGCTGTAGAAAAAAGAGCAGAAACGAAAATCAAAAGACCAGCAAATTAACTAAACTTCTCCACAAAACTTCTTTTAATTTCTCAAATTGTTCCTCTGTGTTCAGTTTTTAGACAACTGTTCAGATTGTTTTCTTCAGGTCTTGATTCCACTGCACTCTCTTTTCCTGGAAATTGTTGTGTATTTGTGTTGCGAAGTTGCTGAACAAATCAGCCAAGTAACTCTGCATCTTGGTTCTACAGCCCTATTACTCTTTGAAGATATAATTCGGTGTGAATGAAGTGGATGGAATTTTCAGTGTATACATATGTATGTTTACTTTGTGCTTAAAATTCTGTTTTGTTCATTGTGGGCAGGTTGTATTTGCATCGTACAGGCAATATATATAATAATATAATTTTTCTTTTGATGGTACATAATTTCCTTGAATCAAGTCATTTTCAGCTTCAGTTCAAGTTGCAGCTACTTGAATTATTTATATTGATGGCAATTTTCTGTTTCTGAATGCAAACCCTTCTGTTTTGGTTACTCTGTAGTAACCTTGCTGTAAGGGTTAGACAGAAATAATAATAACCTTTGATTGGATAATCAATAAGACTATATAAATTTTGGGGATTGGGATTCTATGGAGTACTTTGTTTAGATTATGATGTGCTATGGAATGGAATTATAATCATATGGTCATGCATTTGATATAATATGAAGATCCTTTTGGCTGTATAATATGGTTATTAATGGTAAATCAATAATTCACAATGCAAAATTGTTGTAGACTGCAGACATATATTGTTATTGAAGTTGTATTGTTTGGATGCATGACATAAGCGTTGTGTCTAAATCTAAAACCCTCGACTATAATGTGGAAGCACAGTTCGGTTTTAAGCTTTAAAAGAGATTATGCGTTTGACTGTAATGCCAAAAACGAGGATCCCATCTTACCATCATATTGCATGCAGTTATTTCATACAAAATATTCATGTTAATTTGAGGTGGTTTTGAGTCTTGTAGGTTTTGGTTGATGATGGAGATCAAAATTGTGGTAGGAGAACTAGTAATAGCAGAAGGGAAAGGATAAAAAAGTATGGCATCTTTAAAATTGGAATAGAAGAAGCTGCATAGAACCATCCCGAGACTTTTCACATTGGATTTGGATAACAGCAGAAAGAAGATGATAAAATTTAGCAGGGGTAGGAAAAGAAGATGATAGAACCATCGTTATTTAATTTATGAGATTGACTATTTGTGTTGTGCTTAATCTTAATCTGAATGAGACGCTGATTGAATGAGGACTGCAAGCAACCTTCGCCTGCATAACACTATCAAAATCCCCATATTTACGTTAATTTTTATTTTAATTTGGTTAGCAAAACCCCAACGGTGAATATAGATTTTTTTTTTTTTTTTTATTTTTTTAACCAAGATATAATATATCAAAATCCATATTCACCGTTGGATTTTCTTTTAATTTGGACTAATAAAAATATTGGCAGAGTTGATTCAGCGTAACAGGGTCAAGGAACTGCTTATTTTTTTTCTCTTCTTTCTTTTTGTCTTTCTTTTCTTCACTAGGGCCCAATTAATCTAAATGTTGGGATAGTTGATTTCTAATAATCATTTGGGGGGGTCAATTAATATGATGATCAGAAAATCCAACGGTGCAAGATTTTTGAATAAATCTGTATTACTTGATCCACGCGTTCTTAGAAACTGTGACAACCACGTTTAATGGTGGTCAGCTTCTTTGGAAGGTGGGTTCTACTTATCTGGCTGGGGAGTGTGGAAGTTAATGCCTTCGATGGAAATAGGAAGGGAATTTCTTTTTATTCCTCTAACCTTTATTGGCCCTTAGATTGATCGCGTAAGCCCTGTGAGATTCCTCTAACTTTATTGGCTCTTGAAGATGATCAAACTGGCAGATATTTCCTACTTCGTTAAGTTACTTAAACTATAAGCAAATATAATTGCTTCATTTCAATATGCCTACGGTAACTCATTCACGTTAGATTGGTTTAGATTTCCATACTTTGAATGAGAAATTGTTAGTGATATTGCCGGGGGAATATTTTCAATTAACTCTTTCAATAAAACTTTATCTTTAAGCCTATAGCACAGCATAAATTGTGGTATATACGTTCACACCTTCTATCTACACATTCCTTATTCAATAAAATTACAATACAGACTATATTATGTAACATACTTATCAGATTTCTAACAATCTGTGCTAGTTCAATGTTTATTATAATGAGCTAGATAACAAGATCAATCAAGTCAATGTATAACCAATATACTAAAATAATTGAAAAAAAATAAAGACTTGAAGAAGAAAAAACACATACTTTATTTCTTCTTACTTTTATTGAATAATGAAGACAAAAATAAATAGGCTATAATGAAGAGAAATTCCTTAAGAAAATAATAAAAAGAAATCCAAAAGATTTGCCGATTACCTCAATCTTCTTGTAAAGGGAAAATTAATGCAATCAGCTTTTCGGTTAAACAGGGCTGGGAAAGGTGCAATCAATGTTGGTTGTTGGGGAGGAGTTCTTTGCTTGGTGAAGAAACCAGGCTGGGAGGCAACCAAAGGAGCTGACGGGTAACAATAAACTGGATCCACGCGTCCGTTCTTGGGAACTGTGAAAATCACATTTAAATTTTAATGGAGATCAGCTTTAAATAGGAAGGTAATTGCTTTTGTTGAATGAGGAAATTACCTTCCGATTTCCATTTACAGAACTAAAACTTATATACATAATACAACCGAAATTTCGAGCTGAGGGCTTATTCGATCAATCTTTTTATCTTTGCAGTTATAACCATTTCCAGCCATGCATTTCTCTTTTGATTTGAGGTTTTTTTTTTTCCCACCCTCACTAAAAATTTTCATTTTTTTCTATTAATGATACGGCAATATAAAAACATTATTCGATATCCATTTTTATTTATTTTGTTATTGATTTTTGCTCTTATTTTATTATTAGCTTTCCTCTTCACACCCATCACACTCTCTTTTAGTACGAGTCGTCCAATCTTCTTGCGTTCTGGAAAATTTTCTCTTCTCCTAGCTTTGTCCATCCTAACATCGTTCGTTTTACCACTATCACATTTCCATGCCATGCACTATTATGAAGCCTAATCAAACGTTTCTTCAACTGCCTTCTTCACACTCTACCATCATCACTTCCTACCATCTTCATCACTTGGGTGACCCAAAACGAGGAGAATCCAGAACAAGCTATTGCTACAATTGAAGAGATTGAAGGGCTTAAAGTAAGAGGTAACCTGATAGAGCATGATCTGGAGCAAATTGAGATTATAGCCAATTAGTGTCTTTGTGGAGACAGGGTGATGGTGGTTACTTTGTCACACTTTCACAACTCTCACATCATTCTCAAATGAAGAAATAACTTCATCTCCTCCACCACACAAATCCGTAAGTACATTCTCACATTTAAGATCCAGGGAGAGAATTTTCAGAACATCCTGAGCAAGTGGTTTGCAAGGATCAGGAGGCATAGCGGCTTCACACATCCCAGTCCGTTCATACTCTTCCTGTAGAATTATAGATAAATAATGAAGGAAGAGATAACAATAAGAAATTGAAAATATTACATGTTACAAAGCTAATAGATTGGCCAAGAGCAAACCTCCCAAATTGGAATGAGTGACTGGACCATTTTGACATCAGAACGGGTTTGCGAGAGAGATGTATACATTATAAATTGTTGATTAACAATGTCTGCAGAACCACAAGCAGTGAACGCTTATAAAAAAGTAAAAAAAAAATGAAATGAAATAATTTTAAGAAAAGAAAAGATATATGTGTAACATTTGAAGCCAGACAAACCATCTATTGTAGCATCTCCCTCAAGCTCACATACACTTTGACGTTTAATACAGCGAACGCTTTGATCAGATGAACCATCAAGTTCATTGGAAAACTGCCAAAACCAATCACCTGGAATTTTGGAAGACTCCCAGAATGGAGAACTTAAAGGTGCACTTTCACTCCAATCTGCCTAATGCAAATTTTTGACAACAAATTATATAAGCATTTAAGCATTCAGTTATGCTTATGTCTATCAGAAAATTATCTGGAACATATAAAAAAACAAAAATCACAAGACTGACCTGAAAATCAGCTTTTTTTTTGTGTCCACTTATCCATCACCTTTAAATGTTGATTATCGTAATTAAATTTCCTTGGAGAAAAAACATCTGGTACTGTATGACGGAACTTCACCTTTGACAGATGCAGATGGCTCATTCCATACAAGTTATAGTCAACCTGGAAACAGAAGCTCAGGAATTACAGATATGATAACATAAATAAAGAAAATAGAAAGGGATTTGGATAGCCAAAAAAGTAAGACTAAGTTGTATGCTGCAAAGCATATGAGGGTACACATGCATGATCTTGTCAAGATTCAATTTGAAACTGATGTCATCAACACAAATGATGGCATAAGAACAGATTAGAATGTCCAATGATTTAAACCTCAAAACCTTTATTAAAAATGCCATGTTGACTGCTTTTCTTCTATAATAGCTCACAAGGCATTAAGATGGATCTGCATATGCAAGTAATGAAGTGCTGTGGTGGACTAAAATAAAAAAGGACATCTTTGCACACCCTATCTAACAAGATGCAATGAAAATTTGACAAGTAACTAAGCAAGGATGAAATGAAGAGCAAGGGAACATAGATCTCTGCACGTAAAAAAACTCTAACCACCCTGAAACTGCAACAAATTGGCAAACACACTACATGTTCAGATTTTGTGGAATAACTTTTTCAAACAATTTAAGTCTAGACACGATTATCATCACTTCTAAAATTCTCCAGGCATCCACTTTGAGGATCTCAAAAGAAATTGATCGTAAAAGCTAGAAAACAGCCAGCAGTCCACCAATAACAACCACACAATGAACTTCATAAAAAAATCCAGAGTCATTGAAGTATTTAACATATGAACAACAGGGACAAAATTTTTATGTAAAAAACAAGAAGTCTAATTAAATAATAGGAATTAAATGAAAAATACTCAATCAATATTAATCATAATTCATTAGACATCACCATGAAAGTTTAACTCTCAATATTGTAAAAAATATTAAGAATAACTAAAAAAACTCCACCAAAAAGATTTCACATGAAAGGTATTTACCAGAAACTGAAGAAGAAAGGGAATATGAGATTCATGGGGCTGCAAACTCTTATCAAGAACTGCACCTGCCTGAAAAACAATTGAGTTACTATGATAAGAGGAAATAATTTGTTTATAAATCTCTCAAAATGAAAATATAAGTGTATCCAAACACAGGAAACAATTTCATGATTAACTACGGTCAATTAGCTCAACCGAAAATCCACAATCAATTCATCCAAGGGCCACAACTCTAAGCAAATCTACTCCTGTATTTTTTAAAAACACTCAATATGCCCATCATCTAGAGACCACAATAAGCAACTAAGCAGCAATTTTCTAATTCATAATAAAGACCCTCTGCAATATAGATCACGTCAATGTCAACATGTGAAACATAGGAAGCTATGACAGGGAAGTATACCATACAGTTTAAATCATGAATAAAAATGAAATAATACAGCAGAGAGAAGAAAAAAAAAGAACCATGCCAATAAAAGAGTTTAAGTTAAAAAACAACCAGAAAAAGAAAATAAAAAAAGAGAAAAGAAAAATGCAGTAAACAACTAAAAGTGAGCGGAATGTTCAAGAATTATACCAGAAGGAGATTAGCAGCACGAGAGACATCATGTGGATAATAGCTTGAAGTTTGTCAAGGTGTTCAACAACATAACCCTACAATATCATCAACGAAAAAACAACTCCAGCACAATGCAATACTTATTTCCTTTTTTTACCATGCACCCCGCCCCACCCTTCCCTGTGCACACTGAAAAACTAGGATACAGGTATATCTTGACAAATAGCTCTTCTGATGAATGGTAACCATAAAATCTCTTAGCTCGTACAAGGCTGCAACCATGAACATGCTGACGATTTGAACCAGAATTACCCTTTGGCTGAGAATTCAAAGCAACTATATTCACAACCCATATATACAATAAGCCACACAAACTAATTACTAGGGAAGAGATATACGTACCTTCAAGGCTTTCTCCAATCCAAGAGATATAGCATTCGTATATGCATCACCTACAAAAATCAACAAAGAAAAAATTGTGTTTCAAGCATCATCTTTCCAACTGAAATTTGAATGCAAAAGCACAACACAAAGTAAAGCCCAAATCCAAGTCCATGTTTTACCTTCTTGGTCTGATTGAAGAGGTATATCAGCACATGGGACATATAAATAGGGTAAAGCCTACAAAAAGAAAAAAAAATCAATAAAATTATTCATGGAAATTATAAAACGCAAACATAGTGCAAATCTGTCGCACTCATGAAGTTTGAAATGCCACAATTGAGAACAAAATGAAATTTCAAAGTAAATGCTAAGCGTAGTAACTAACAACATCAATTTACATAAAAAGATCAATAAAATTACTCTATGAACATGCAAGCATGTCTTCTGGCCGGCTGGTGTTGATCCATAAATCCTTATAACTGGCACTTCGTCCACCTTCCCGCCTTCATAATTCAAAAAAATATTAACAGTATTAAATTTAAAGCTAGACAATTCTAATCCTTAAGTAAATAAAATTTTTTTCAAAAAAAAGGCCATAAATATATAATTGCTAGCATTTTAATTCAATTTCAATAGACAACAATTTCCAGGCATCACGAAACACCACCGGTTAAGTAACATTACAGGACAGTAGCAGAGAAAGAAGCAAACTAATCATAAGATGTCGTTCAAGCTACCTTACTGTAGCGGTCTATTAATTTCTTTTATTTGTTACATTTTCGCGCCAAATGAACAAATCAAAGTGAAGAGCAAACGAAAGAAGAAATAAAGCACTGAATATTTATATAAAAATTAAAAATTAAAACGAAGACGTTTCGGATTGGAACCTTGAAAGCTACTGTAGCAAATATCGTAGCCAGGAATTGGCGGCGCCATGTAGTGATCGATGGAGACAATTCGAACACTGAAAACTTTGGACTCCGGCTGCGAATCCGCCATCGGTTTTCACTTTACTTACAATGATACATACATGAATTAGAGTCTGTGAAGAAGAAATGTTCTTTTACGAATTGCTTTGAATTCTTTGGCGCCAGATTTTAGGGCTTTTATAGGCAGAACCGTTCGAAGAACAGAAGATTTCAGTAACTTCTTCTGTACTCAGCTTGATTTGACATACCAAACCTTGACTTTCGATATATTTTCAACTTTGCCATTACACATTGCAGGCCCAAGCCTCAAGGCATATGGTCCAGCCATTGTTAATTTTTTTTTTTCTTTGTAACGGGCTGTTCTGGCAATTTCATACACTTCAATTAATCTTCAGGTTCCTTTAATATTCAAGGCATCTTAGTCCAATCATTGTTAATTTGTTCAGGCTAGCTTACGCTCATCTCAACTAATATTTGAGGTCTTTTGAACATCCTACAAGTACAAAGGATCGGATAAGTCCCACATTCCAGAGTCCTTTGAACACCATATAAGTTTAAAATACTAAATAAGTCACAATATGAGAAAATTATAATGTGGTAAATGGTCTCAAGATTCAAACCTAAAAAATCAAAGAAGGAAAGAAACCTTCTTGACCGCTAGATCAAGGCCTTGGGTTGCCATTGTTAATTTACTATACAAAGCATGCTTTATAATTGGTAGAATGACATTTTCACCCACCATCATGAAGTTGTCTCATTCAACCCTTTACAATTTGCTTATGTTACTGCTTGATTCATAAAATTACAATAATCCGAAAGCATAGCTAGAGATTGAAACTCTAGATTGAAACACTGGTGGGAATTCCTTTAGCAGTAAGGCCACCTTCACTAGTAGGATGGAGCAAAGTGTACGTCATTTTGACAGGCCAACGCGGTTCTTGAGATTTTGGTCAAGGTTTCTTTCTATAATTTAATTTATAACTACCCTAAATTACCATCATCCAATGAGTATGCACAGAATGGTGTGGAAAGCAGAAACAAGTACAATCAGAATGCAATTAAAGGCATCCCCGTAAAAATTATTATGTTAAGAAAGAAAAAAAAATTAAGGTGGAAGGAGTATTTGCTCTTTGACTTTGAATACAGTCAGTTATATAAACAAATTAACAATGTCGAAGAATTAGGCTGAAAATGTTATATTAATAGAAAGATAAATAGATTATTTTAAAGATTATGAAAAATGTTTAAGAAAATATGTTTAGTTAAATTGAAATATATTGATAGATATGTTATATTCATATATTTTGAAACTAACCATTGAGGAATGATGTTATAATGAAATATTGATAAAATATTATTTTTTGAATAATTTATAGGATGTCAGAGACGGCTAATACTAAGAGGAAGCGTGGGGTGTGTTAGTGAAAGTCAAGACAAGAAACGTTATCACCTTTTCATCACTAGTACAAAGTTATTATATTATAAAAACATTATAAAACTTATAAAGTTTTTATAATATAATACTTATATAATATTTAAAACTTTATAAAAAACTTTATAAAACTCATCACTAGTACAAAGTTATTATATTATAAAAACATTATAAAACTTATAAAGTTTTTATAATTTATAAAGTTTTTTATAAAGTTTTAAATATTATATAAGTATTATATTATAAAAACTTTATAAGTTTTATAAAGTTTTAAATATTATATAAGTATTATATTATAAAAACTTATAAAAATTTTTATAAAGTTTTAAATATTATATAAGTATTATATTATAAAAACTTTATAAGTTTTATAAAGTTTTAAATAAAGTTTTTATACTATAATAACTTTATAATAGTGATCACTAGTGGGGAATGATTAGTTTTTCGTGTCTTCACTGGGGCCCACTTACTCTCAATGCTCAATATAAGCCCCACCCTCGCTCAATGAAACAATTTCATAAAAAGCCTTAATCCCAAACAAAATCATTCAATTCTTCAAACCAAAAACGTCCAAGATCAGCTCTATACTTTATTTCTTCCTCATCCCTATCCAAATATCATCAAGAATAGAAAGCATGCAATTCCCCATTGATTTGAGGTTTCTTCCCTTACCACTACTAAATATTTTCATCTTCTTTCTATTAAGGAAACCTCAAGTTGAAAATATTCTTCAATACCCATTTTTATTTATTTTGTCACTAATTCTTGCTCTTCTCTTATTGCTAGCTTTCCTCTTCACACCCATCACACTTCCTCTTAGTATGAGACGTCCCATCTTCTTGCGTCCTGGAAAATTTTCTCTTCTTCTAGCTCTGTCAACCCTCGCGTCATTCATTTTACCACCCACTCATTTCTTAGTAGCCTATTTGTTTCTCATTATCATATCTCCATGTTATGCATTACTATGGAGTCTAATTAAACTTTTCTTCAACTATCTTCTTCACGCTCTACAATCACTTCCTACCATCTTCATTAATTGGGTCAACCAAAACCAAGAAAACCCAGAACCAACTCTTGTTCCAATTGAAGAGATTGAAGAACTTGAAGTAAGAGGTAACCTAATGGAACATGATCTAGAGCAGATTGAGATTATAGGTAGCTAGTGTCTCTGTAGAGAGAATGTGATAGTGGTTACGTTGTCATGCTGCTATATTGATAATCTAATTCTAGACTTTTCAATAAGTATACATGTGGTACAAAGGTTGAAACTACCGGTTCTTTTGGGTTGCTGTTGTCGTTAAGTTATTAGTTAGTTAATTTGATTTTGTACTTGTATTATATGTTTCTTTTACTATATTAATATATATAATAAAGGAATTGTTTTACCGATTGGATCAATTTACGGTTACTGGAAGCTATGTTTGCCGTTGGATTTTTATATATTGGATCTTGGTTAAAAACAATAAAAATTATATTCACCGTTAGATTTCTCGTATTCAAATTAAAAGAAAATCGGGAAAAAATAATAATAATAAAAATGCATTATTTTAATAATATAATAAGAAAAAAAGTATAAATAAAGTATACTTTTTCGTCAAGACGAAAGGTCGCACTCTCTTTCCCGATCCCAAACCAGAAAGCCAGTAGAACTTAGCAAAAGAACAAATAGCCACAATCTGTTTCAGCTTGCTCTCTCTCTCTCTCTCTCTCTCTCTTTCTGTGATGGTGATACCCGTTTACTCTTTCTGGTTTTATTTTAGTGGTGATGTTGTTGCCTTTTTGATCTGGCTGCTCTGACTGGTTTCATTTGGCTGCGATTCCAAACTTGGAGTGTTAGTTCTCTTTTCTCCCTTTTTCTTCTACAGTAGTTTTTTTTTTTTTTGGTTCAAGATTTGGGTCATCGTAGTTGCGGAAATTGTGAATTAAATTGAAAAGATGCCTGGCAAAAACAACCCTTGTTTGTTTTATAAAATATTCTCAAAGAGTGATGAATTTTGACTGTGTTTTGTGAGGGGATAGTTTATGGACGATTCAAATTCTCCCTCTTAAGCTTTCCTCTCTAGTTACACCCTTCTCTATTTATAGGCTTTCTAACTGTAAGTATCTCTTTGATCTATATTTGAGGGATTATGTTAGTTTGATTCAAGTTTTGAGACTAAAATATAGGTTTTTGGTATTGATTTGAAGCTCTTAATTTAGGTTCTCGTTCGTTATTTATATTTTGGGAAATTGGAAGATAAAGAAGCTAAAAGTGTACCATACTATTTACAAACCATTAATCTCCGAGCTTTACTCGAGTAATAATTTTTGAAGCTTGTTTATTCAATAATTCTTTTTGGGGCTTGATTATTGCATTTTTAATAATCTGTCATTTTACCCTATAATTTGTTTTTACGAAATCAGAAATGATAAAACAAAAGGCTTTTGTTTTGCCACCAAAACTCGGAAATTCGACATCAAATTTCTCTAGAAGTTCTCCGAGAATCAATATGCATGGTAATATACAATTCCAGTTGGGCATATGTGTTTATTCACCAGTTCCTGACTTTGTATTGGTCTTTGTGGATTAGGAGAATTTACTTTGCTGGCCTCAATGTTATTTTATCATGGACCAAGGAAGAGTCACAACACCTAGTATTGTGGGATTCTCGGTGTCTTGAAAATTCAAATCAAGGTTAACTGAAGAAGGCTTATAAAGGAACTGCTATAATGAGTCATCCTACAAATGTGAAGATCCTGATAAGAAAGGTTCTTGCAGTCGTATCTTTTTGTTGAATGTTATGCTATAGGCTATGTGTCACTTATTCTATCCGTAAAAACTTCTGGATTTGGTAGTATCATGGTGTTTCAGTTATGCCATGTTTTGGAATGAAGATATGCTGTTGAGTTTGTTTTTTCATTTCCAGAAAGCTCTGAGATTGAACTTCGAATGCTTAAACACTTGACTTTAAATGCACCTAATTAATCAGGTTTCCATTGTGCTATAGTTTTGAATGGCTATGTTTTCTCATGATGGTTGGATCTTAATTTTTAGAATGCTTGAGATTGATCAATTTGTTAATACCAAAGGTCAGATTCATAAATCATATTCTTTACATCCTAAAAAATTTTATCTGCTCTTTTTCCAGGATATATTTTTCTAGAATTTAAGAACTTTTTTGTTTCTACAATATTATGCCCATATAGAACTTTTTTCTAGAAAATGCTCAGGTCGATCTAACAATTTTGGTAATTCCTTTGTGTTAAATATCAATCCTTAATACAAAATACTTGGTCAAGCATTGGCAAAAATTCAGTTCACACCCTTTTCTATGTCCAATTTAAATGTGATCAGTGCTGCATTGTCAACTGGAAATGAATGGATATTTAAGCACTCTGGTGAGTGGTTTCAGGTTTGAATGTTCTCTCCATCAATAGGGGGATTCAAGTAATCAACTTGAGGATGTTGTTCAACATACAGAGCTTTTTACTGACTTCTACTCTGAGTGCCTAGCAGATAGACAGGGAAGAGAATATCTGCAACAAGTAACTCTCGTATCTTCCTGGATCTTATACCCTTCTCCTGAGTGTTGACTTGAAAATTTTGTTTCACAAAAAGGGCCTTTTACTGAAAATGTTTTTTTTTCAATAAATAATTTGTTTGGTGAGCAAAACTTATTGTGCATATCAAATTATAATATGTGGGTGGTCGTAGACATGGGATGAATGTCTACGCTAAATCTTGCATTGCTC